CCAGTTTAAAACTATGCAAAACGCTGTTAAAACCGAGTCATACTCTTCTCTATTATCCACTCTTGATATGATCAAGGTAAAGGTAAAGGTCAAATAAAGGTCGCAGTGACCTGGTTTTGGTACGCTGCTCACCTTCTCCCCAAGATGTGTAAGTATACCAAGTTTGGTAGCGCTAGGTCAATTAGGTGCCGAGTTATAGAGCGGAAGGGAAATTGTCTGCGGCGGCGGCGGCTGGGGAGACATGAAACCATAGTATCCCCCCCGACTTCGTCTCGGGGGATACAATGATAGTTCGAATAAAGGATGCAATTGTGTATCAGTTGTAGAGTATTGTGTACTATGGTTGGACACTTAAGGCCATACATGTGAAGTCTTATTAAATCATTTATAAACAAAGAAAATGCAGTAGGCTGTAGAATTTAAAAGCTAGCAAGAGAGAATAAGAAGGAAACCAGTAGTACTGAGATGTTCATTCAATGACAAGTGTGTGAACCAGGGGTGAAAAAACTGCTGCTAATCGCTAGAAATCATGAGTTAGCCACGAAGGTATAGCGAATTTAAGTTTACCATATTTTGACTCCAACAATAAAATATAACAAACCCTTTTCCTGACATTTTTTGCTGGTTGCAACTTGGCATTTCTTATTCCACCTTTTTTATTTTTTTGTTTTTTTATTTTTGCAATTATCCATCATATACAATACATAGCATACTTTAACAATAAAATTCTGAATTCATAAAAGTGAATAACTAACAAGGATATATATACACAAAAAGCATGACTAGCACACTTATTTACATTGTGGTCCTTGTTTTGCTATGCCTTGAATCTAACAATTACACTACTAATTCTATCAGCACTAACTAGTATTGAAATATACAAATTTGTAGTTTTAACCAGTCATACAATGGTACATTCTCATATTAAAGACGATACAAACTTTTCTTATGCCTAATTTCAACCGAATTCTTTTAGCGAAAATCATACGCCTCTGCCTCTAATGTTTCGACTCAAAGATAAAGAGCTTGTCCAGTAATAAACATCATCCTATCCAATCACCGTCCTGGACATCATCTCTACCCATGAACCAATGTTTCTACCTTTTCCATCAGACATTTCTTAACACTATACTTTAAACTAGAATAAACAGAATTTTTCCTAACTTGCTGTGGTAGAGAGTTCCAAGCTTCAATTGCAGTATAAGTAAAAGAGTTTTTCCCACTGCTTCCCACCCTCGGTTTAAAAATAGACATCTCACCTTCCCTTGTATTGAAACTATGGACTTCTGACGTTAACATGAAACCTTCTGTCATATACTGTGAGCCGAGATTATGTAATATTTTAAAACCCCTATTGACCTTTAGTTGCATTACACTGAACTCTACAGGTACCCAATTTACAGCCTTGACCTACTACCTAGACCTTCTGACACTCACTGGCGCAATTTCTGCATGCTGTGGCAAATTTTACTATTCATTCGCCTCACCTGTGGCTACATCGGTTAAAAAAAGATAGGCCACCTCTATTGTAATTTATCTATAACTGTGCGGTAACTATACGCAATACAGCTGCCTTCTCTTGCCAATGCTAGGTGGCAGCACCATCCAGCAACAATTAATAGCAATCCACATCAAAAGCAACCATTGCAGTGTGGCGGCTCAACAATAAATACTACATGCATCTACTACATCACAGAACATGAGTATCACTAAAAAATACACGGTTTGCTGAATAACAAAGCGTTGTTAATTCAGGCAAGAGGTCTTGGTATTTGCTGTCTGCATACATGTACATACTGCATATATTATGCATTATTTCCATCAGTATTTTCCAGTTTTATCCTTTTTACATGCATTCGATTATAAATAACAAAAAACTCATTAACTCAAAACAAACTAAGATATTACAATTAGTGCCCATTTTATAGCTTACCATTAATAATAACATATAACAT